GGTCTCTCCTGCCCGGGCTGGCTTTGAACCGCGGTCCTCAGATCTCAGCCTCCTGAGTAGCTAGGATTACAGGCGTGAGCCACCAGCGCCCGGCTGGTGTGGCATTCTTAGGGAGAGACTTGCAGGGAACCTGGGGAATCCTATGCATAGTAGGAATAAGGTTGGTGGACTGTAATGGCTTAAGAATCTGGGCTATAGCATTCACGTTACTCAACTAGAACTCCATTTACTCAGGTGTATAGTGAGAACAACAGTAGCACTAAATGAGTGCTGAGCATAAAATGATAGATGCATAAAGTTTGGTGTAGGGGCTGGGAAGGTGGCTCAGTGGTAAAGCGCTTGCCTTGCATGCATGAGGCCCTGGGTTTGATTCCTCAGTATCACATAAGCAAAAAGAAAAAAGCCGGAAGTGGCGCTGTGGCTCAAGTGGTAGAGCGCTAGCCTTGAGCTGAGGAGCTGAGGGACAGCGCCCAGGCCCAGAGTTCAGGCCCCACCCCTGGACTCCCCCCCCCCAAAAAAAAATACAGTTTGGTGTATTTATAATTATTGTATTGGTCACTTTAATGCACAACGCTGACTTAAGGACACAATCTATCCCCATGTCCTGAAAGCAGGGTGTTATTTTGTTCTGCTCCGGATATCTAGAATCCTAGATGTTCAACCCACAATAATGGTCATTAAAGCAGGACCGGTGATGGGATTACAAGCACCTTATAAAGAATTTCAGTGGCACTATACATATGAATTTGTGTGTGCGTGAGTGTGCTGGCATCAGAGCTTGAACTCAGGGCCTGGCATTGCCCCTTAGAATTTTTTTGCCTAAGGCTGGTGCTCCACTTCCAAATTTTTGCTGGTTCATTGGAGATAAGAGTCTCATGGATTTGTCTGCCTAGACTGACTCCAAACTAGGATCCCAGGAGCACAGGGTCCTTTGCTCAAGCACCAGTACTGGCACCAAAAAAAAGGGTGGGAGGAGTTGTTTAAGACTTGACTCGTGATAGAGTACATGCTTGCCTAGGAGACTTGAGGCCCTGAGTTATTTGCCCATGCTACCAACAAAAAAAGAAGGGATGGGGGACTCACTGATGGCTTTCTGAAAGTGGTCTTGGTAGCTACAAGCCTCCTTTTCCCTCTTGCAGTTACGCTATGATGATGAGGTAAAGCGGGTGGTGGCCGAGCCAGTGGAGTTGGCTCAAGAGTTCCGAAAATTTGACCTGAACAGCCCCTGGGAAGCCTTCCCTGCCTATCGTCAGCCCCCTGAGAGTCTCAAGCTTGAAGCTGGAGTCAAGAAACCTGAAGCCAAGTAGCTCCAGGGAAGACATGTGGATCTTAAAGAGTACACCTTATCTATGAGTGTCCTTGTAAATAAATTCCTATGTAAAACTCCTGTGTGTTTCTTCTAATGGGTACAAGTAACAGTGACTCAGGAGGAGGTAGTTGCAAACAGGTGTTTCTTGTTCTGGCAAAGACCTTGCCAAAGTACAGTCTGTTGTTTTGTTTGTTTGGATTTTGTTTTTTGTGGGGTTTTTTTGGTCGGTCGCAGGGCTTGAAGTCTGGGCTTGGGTGCTGTCCCTGTGCTCTTCAGCTCAAGGTGTGCACTCTACTACATGAGCCACAGCGCCACTTCCGATTTTCTAGTGTTTTTTTTTTTTTGTCTGTTGTGGTGCTTGAACTCTGGGTTTGGGTGCTGTCTCTCAGCTCTTCAGCTCAAGGCGAGCGCTCTACTGCTTGAGCCACAGCACCACTTCTGGTTTTTGGGTTGTTTATTGGATATAAGTCTCATGGACTTTCCTTCCCTGGGCTGGCTTTGAACCGAGATCCTCAGATCTCAGCCTCCTGAGTAGCTAGGATTACAGGCATGAGCCACTGCCCTTATGGTCTGTTTTAATGGAACTAAATAATGCAGCTGCAGATGACCTGTGGGCCAGAAGTATTTGAGAGGAATTCTGGAGCTGTGATTCTTAGAGACCACAGGGTTCAGGATGGGTATAGCATGGCCTCTAATGAGAACCGGAGGATTTTCACTACAGATTGAGGAAGCCCCTCATCTCAACAGACTGCCTGATGGCCGTTGGGTCCAGAAGCTTGGGTGGCACCAATGCAGCTCTCCCACCTGGACACTCACAAGAAAAATGAGCCAACACCAAGGCAGGAAGAATACATCACTCACAATGCCCATACCATTTAGAAGTATGTGTACTACTTAAGTTTTGTCTTTTGAGAAAAACTATCCATCCAACTATAAAAATTGCATTGACAAAAAAAAAATACATCACTCAGGCTGGGAAGGTGGCTCAGTGGTAGAGCGCTTGCCTTGCATGCCTGAGGCCCTAGGTTCGATTCCTCAGCACCACAAGCAAAAAGAAAAAAGCCGGAAGTGGTGCTGTGGCTCAAGTGGCAGAGCGCTAGCCTTGAGCTGAAGAGCTGAGGGACAGCGCCCAGGCCCAGAGTTCAGGCCCCACGACCGGACCCAAAAAAAAAATACATCACTCATTTTTGAGTTTTTAACCCTGTGTCTTCCCTATATCATGATTCGATCTAAACTAGCTAAAGGGATAATCTTCCTGGTTTCTGGTCTGAGTCAAGAACATTAGCAAAAAACACTGAGGAACTGCCTATTTGTCTAGTTTCCAGGAGCTGTTGATACTCCCCACCCCAGCTGATCTGGCGGTCGTTCCTATGGCTGAGTGCCTGAGGTGGGAGTGCTTTGCTCTGCCTTGTATGGGGCTATGCTTTGCAGCTGATGCTCTTGGCAGCTGAAGGGCTCCCTGGAGGCTGGGCTGGACGATGTCAGGGACTGGCCTCTGTAGCAGGATGTTTTGAGTATGAGGACAGGTAGTATTGTTCCCTTTGGAAGGGCCGAACTAGAGCTGTTTGCTACCAAACACCCATTTTCTCATTAAATATCCCACCCATCTGGACAGGCTGCTACTGCCAAAACCAGGGTGGGAAGAGCCCCTGGGAAGTGAAGGAAGCCACAGCCAGCACTTCCTTCAGCCCTGAGACTGACAGTCAGAACAGAACTCCTGAGTAGCCTGCAGTGGAAAGCTGTGGCTGTGGTGTGTAGCAGGCAGATAAAGGAGCAGAGAGCTAGTGAGAAGACTTGAGAAGGTGGTGCAGCATGGCCAGCACACTGCAGTTCCTGGTTTGTCTGGTGGCGACCATTTATCTCCTGTGGGTCACTGCAACACAACACCATGCAGGTAAAGGAACTCAGAGTGAATGGATATTAGCAAGGAAGGCTGCTGGTTGACACCAGTTAGCTAATCCTCATAAGGGCTGAGGAACTGTAGGTCTGGCGGGTACCAGCCTGATGTCTGCTGTAGTGGGTAAATATGAGGATCCCAACCCCATAATGGAAAGGAATAAATGAAACCTGTTAAGATTGCTGTGGGTACTGTTAAAGCTGGCCCCAAACAGGGTTGGACTCTGGGCTCAACCCAGATGATAAGTCAAAGCAGGGTCCTTTGACCTGTCCAGGGCTTCAGATAACCAATTCAAGGGCTAGGCAACACCTCAGGGTATGAGACAGAAAAACACAAAGGACATTCTGCCCTGTATAATTCTGTCTACACAATGGCTGAGCAGCAGCAAGGAAAGAGGAGACCCTTCCTAGAGTTACTTATCCTCTGAAGAGTCATTGCACTGTTCTAGGTCACTCCCCAGATTACTATAGGGAGGTGAGGAGTCTTATGACCTGTTAGCAAGGGTATGTACAAATTAAAGGAGGAGTTTGGACACTTACTGAGATAGTAACGGGATAGTGTAACACTCTGGGATCACAAGACACATGCCTGGGAGGGTGTATGTCAGTGTGCTTATGTGTACTTATGGGCAGGTGAGAGAGCAAAAGATGGCATTCCTGCACTGGTAGAACCAGGAAAGGGTGTTGAGGGAAGTGTGGCAAGCATCTGATTCTGTTCTGCTTGGTGCCTAGGGCAGCCAACAGACAGTGCAAGTGTGAGAGATGGCCTGCAGGAGCCAGAGGACCCGGAAGTGATGTTTGAGGTCTTTCCTCCCAGCTTGGGACGTGAGGGCGGGGGTGTCTGGAGGTCCCTAAGCTCAGGGATGGGAAGAGGTATGGTTTAGAGCAGGCTTGCTGGGAGTGGGGGGGAACCTAGCATGGGTCAGCCTGCTTATGCTCCCCCCCCCAAGTCCATTCTTCTGCCTAGACTCCAGCCCACCCCTTAAATGGCTCCTTTTGCAGCTGCTGTGGTCTGGGCTGGAGCTGGATGTCATGGGGCAGCTGCGCCTCCAGGATGAAGAGTTAGCGTCCACACGTCCAGGCCGCCGACTCAGGCTCCTTCTGCGGGACCATGTGCCCAGTGACTTAGAAAGTGCTGGGCAGCATCTGCAGCGGCTCCAGGACCTGCACAATGGGCCTCCTCTTAGCCCTAGAGACTTTGAACATCTGCTCCTCACCACCCTGTCCTGCATCTACCGGGTCCATGCAGCTAATGAAACTGAAGAGAGTGGTCGCTGGGTCCAGGTCTTCACCTACCTGGCACAGGAAACACTCTGGGACCTGTGCAAGGGCTTCTGCAAGGGCCAGTTCCCTTCAGTGTGGCCTTGAATTTCCATCCTTGTACCCTTTCCCTTTCTCCTGTCACCTGCTATCACCCCCCTCCCCCATCTCCACCCTTTCAACCTGCGCCTGACTCATATTGGGAAGTAGGTCTCCATTTGGAGACGGAACTGAAGACAAATGGAGGTCTCCAAATGGAGACCTACTTCGATAACTGGGCTTGGTTTATTGTATCTTTCCTACCCATTTTTATCCCTACCCCCTTTGTTCCCTGAACCTTAAAGGATAAGAGTGGGAGACTGTGAATAGGCAACAGAGCAAAGGGCAAAAGTTGCAGACTAGTGGGTTGTGTGCTCCAGGGGTCAGGACTGAGAAATGTATCTAAAGGAAAATTAAAGAGAAGCTGCGGCAAATTAAGTGGAAGTCAGCCTCTAAGTCCATCCTATGCAATTCAAAGAAATGTATGTTTGGCCTCCAATCCTAATGTACTCATTTCAAGCCTGACCAAGCGTCTGGGGTCCCAGATCTGTGAGTTCTCCATTTGGGCTGCAAATGTAGAATGGATTTGTTGGGTTCTGTTCACTGGAGGAGTGGAGACAAACAAGTGGAGGAACATTACCTTTTGGGGGAGAGAGAAGCCAAGAAATGTCTTCAGTTTCATCTCAGTCAGTCTCAGAGGAAAGAGTTAGGCTAGGAGAGGACCCACCCACCCACAGACTAGCTGAAGCAGGCTGGGATAAGTGTAACTGATGATGTATCGCTCTTCCCAAAAAAAGCTCCATTCTGGCTTTCTGAGTGTGTCCTTCCTTCCGTGTCAGAATAAGACCACTTACCCTGTGGTATTCTTGCCCTGAGCAAGTCACCCCATGTGGAAAGGGCAGGAGGCAGTCAACCAGGTATCCACCCCTCATCCCCTTTCCACATTCACCCAGAAGGACCATGCCCTTTGCCCGAGTCCTGTGCTCCGAGTATGGTAGTGTGATGAAGAATCTTGCTATAGAAAAGGATCGCCTGGGCTCTGAGAGTAAGCTCATACATAGGCCAATGGGAACTCAGATTCAAGGATGCCCTAGACAGGGGAGACCCCACGGGGAGGAGAGAGGCCCTGAGGCTGCCAACCCGCGGGTGATGGCGTCGCAGTCAAGACAAGGGGACCGTCGGGCTGACCGGCACAGGCCCACTTTATTGGCAGAGTCTAGCCGCCCTGGGCCGGCCGTCGGGCAGGCGCCGGCGGGGCGCTCGGGCCGCGGGTCCCGGCTCGGCATGCACGCCCCAGGGCCCGCCCGGGCTCCTCTGCAGCCCGGGGTTCAGAGCTCCGGCGGGCCGGCGGGAGCGAGATCGGGGTACACCAGGAAGCCGGAGAAGGTGATGTACTTGCCGTGGTTGCTGTAGGCGCCGTAGCCGTCGTGGTCGTGGCTGAGCAGCCAGACGGCGTCGCCGCGCCGCAGCGGCAGCATCACGCTCTGGCTCTGCATCTCGCGGCGCCGCGACGCGCCGTCGTCGTAGATCATGGCCTGCACCTCGTCGCGGTTCTTCATGAGCTTCACCGACAGCGTCTTGCGGGGCAGTTTGCCCAGGGTGAAGGAGAAGAAGTAGGCGCCGGGCAGGCGACAGCGGAACACGCCGGCGGTGGCGTCGAAGTCGCCGCCGATGTTGACGAGCTCGGTGTCGAAGGCGAGCGGCCGGTGGCGA